TGTTGTATGAGTGACCAGGGCCCTGGGTAAAGTATTGAGATTGTGTGATGATATATGTCTTTGTATTGTTCTGTAACATGTTGGACTTTCTTGCTACGGTAAAATTTTTGAATAATGGGATAAGATTTTCCCAAAGAAAAATTTTCTTAAAAATTTCTGAATGAAATTGTGATATTTATTTATTCTTGTTTTGAATTTTGTAAAGATACTGGCATTCGGTTTTTATTTCAGGTCGGAGATGATGATGTGGGGGGCATTTGTTGGAAAATATAGCTTATTTTTAAACCTTTTACTGCATCATCTCTCCTCCTTGAAATGTTTATTTAGTTTAGTCCTTATTTTAATGTAATATAGTAGTTACTTCTACTTCTTTTTCTTGCTGCCACTGTTTGCATTGAGAACGGACTGTTTCAACCTAATTGAGATGCAAAAACGAAACATGATGTTACGTCATCTGAAAAGCCGATTCGTGCCGATAGCTGATTGGTTGCCGTGAGATGACGTCATTCCTACTTCTGCTATAAGTATCTCGCGTCGCTCTGGCTCAACCCTTCTAGTTCCTGGTTTCCCGGCAAGTGAGTGAGCGGTTTCCAGCCCCTTCAAAAGGATGCATGCAGTCCGGTGAATAAAAATGCCTTGATTCCGGTTTGCGAGATGATGGTTCCAGAGGCTACCATTCGAGTGACTGCCGTGGGTGGCATCCATGTTCTTCAATGAAGGCGGAATTAAAAATACGTGAACGGCGATTCCTTGTGCAAACGGAGTTAGGCCGGTTTTAAGTGTTTTCAAGAACTTCATTTAAATTTTCAGGTGTTTTTCTTGACCATTGATTATGGACTTATTGAATGGGTAGCCAGCTTTATTTTTAGGCCGCATAATTACTGTTTAGGACATTTTTTGTTTGTATAGAATGCCAGTGTTTTGGAGACCAGGTAAAAATATTTGATGAATGATGATTATATTATATTTTTCCTAAGACTATGAGATTATTGACATTTATTTTTTTGTGTTTTTATTCTTTATTACATTGTTAATAAATTGGTTAAGTTTAAAATCTTTTACTGTCTTCAATGTCTGCACAACATATCTCAGGGAGCTTTCATTGCTACTACTGCTAAATGTTTAATTTCTTTAAACTTCAAACTTTGTTTTAGCATCAAAGGTCTTACGCGCTCTCGTAAACGCCTGTGCGCATGCGTGAACGCAACGCATGCGCAGAAAGTTTGTAGCTTTGAGGCCCGAATTAACAACTTTTGACTGTATCAATTTTGTGGATAGTGAGTCTGGCGGTCATTTAAATATGATAGAGATTACATGGTGGCGTGTTAAAGCAACATTGCCGATTTATAATCGGAAATGCGATTTGGAGTTTTATTTGGTGGTTTATATATTTTTCCATTATTGTTCTGGAACAGGAGAAAATGCTTTTAACAAATTTGTGGTGAAATTGTTTTGGTGATGTTTGAAATTGTTATTTCTGCTGTTCAAAGAAGCATTTATTTATGGTAAGTGCATTTTGTTTTATTCTTGTTCTTATTCGGCAGAATGTTATGTTTATTTTTATTTTTTTTTTTTTTTTAGTATGAATTTCTATCGTTATTGTTGTTTTTTTTTGGATTGTTTGAAATTTATTTGAGTTAATTTTGTTGAGTAGTGTGCAAGGCCTAGATTGTGCAACAGAACACTGTGCACATGGTATTCTTGAAATTTATTGTTGTTAATTTATTAAAGCGAGGCATGCGTAGTTCGTAGATTCCTTCGCTGTCTAGATTGTGCAATTTGTAGATGTTTGTTTTTAAGTTTAAACAGAAAGCTGTGTACATCGTATTCTTTGAAGTTTATTGTTGTTATGTTAATTTATTTAAGCTAGGTGTGCATAGTTCATAGATTCCTTCGCTGCATAGATTGTGCAATTCTGTGATTTTTTTGAAGTTAAAATATATCACTGTGGACATGGATTCTTGTCAAATATTTTTTGGTTAGAAACTATCTAAATTTTTTGTTTTTGTTCCGGATTTTTAGCTTAAATTGTGTGTTGAAAACGCGGTTTTTGAACGTGCGAAAATCGCGTTTTTGCAGACATTTTAGGCTAAAAGTTCAAAATGTAGACAAAAAATTTAGGTAGTAATATGGCGACGTGGAGTTTCTCACAAAAAATGTTTGGCGAGAAATTTGTCGCTGCGTTTGTTGACCTGAGGGTGCATATAAGAGTAGTTCCAAATAATGAATAATATTGCTACTCGTAACTCTCTGAAAAGTTACAGTCTGTTGTTCTATTAAATAAAGATGGTATTCATAAACTCTGATTATGATTTAAATTCTTTGGTTTTAATGTTATAATGATGCAGTACCTATAAATAATGTAGAGAGAACACAGTGAAAAATAAGTACAGATGTTAAATATATCACATGGATGTACTGTCTGAAATTTATTTTTGATAAGAGAAAGTAGAAATTTTAAAGGAAAACAGGTGGAAAATTTAGCATATTGTATTTCATTAAATACCATAATTTATAATAAATTACAGAATATTAAAAATTTAAAATTTCAAAATGCAGACTGTTGATTAATTTGACAAAGTACTAATAAATATTCTTAAAATAGCAACATTCAAAAGTGTTCAAAATTTCTATCAAAATTACCATCTAAATTTAATTTATGTTCAAAAATTATATAATTAATATTATTAAAATTACATAATTAATTATTTATTCAAAAATGTACAATTAAATCCTCAAATATATAAAATGTTATCTGAAAAATGCAGAGGGAATTCAAATGCACCTCTTCATACTATCCAGTGTTCTGGCAGATTCTTATGCAGGAAAGCCTGCACACTTTGGTAATACTAAGAGCGTGGTAAATCTGAGCACCATTTCCATTAAGTGCATAATACACAGCTGATAAAATAAATGTGCAGAGCACTTCCAGGTCGTTTTCAACAGTAACTGTACCTTCAAATAAAATGGCTTTAATTAAATCTCAAGATGAAAGTCCAAGTCCAGGTGGCTTGACTGCCTTGTTAACATGAATTATCTTGTGCTCAGTAAAACACAATTATAGTAGTTCACTGTTTTGTTATGGACTGACACACTGGGGTTTATTTGGGTTCATGGAAACATCTAACATAGTAGACACCTCCAAGGGGGGAAAAATCGGTTGAATAATCAGCATTTTGTATATAGTGCAACTAGTTGACCACACGGAACAGAATCTGTGAGCTCAAACAAACCTCAGTGTGAACGGCCCTTTAAGTTTGAAAATTGGGCTTCATCAGACAATAGAACCTTTATCCCTTCTTACCACATGATAAAACCATTTGCAAAACTGCATTTGGTGATCAAGATCATTCTCATTTAGGGCATGCAGTTATCTTGGGATGAAAACTTTCCACTTAGCTTATTTCAGAATGCATCGTAACTATGCGGTGCTAATCCCTGTCTAGTTTGCACACAGTGAGCAAACTTCTAAGGTGATATTGCAAACTTTTGGAAAGCCACAGCTGAAGAAGTAGAATTTCTAGCTGTATGACTAAGCATGGATGTTTGTAAATGTATAGTGCCTGTGCAGCATAGGCACACTTCAAAAATGTGGAGATTTATGAGCCCTCTTGAGAGGTTGGTGGTAGGGGAAAATAGGGATGGGAGACCCTTCGAACTCCCTGGGATGTTCTCCATTAAAATTGGGAACGGAACTGGGCAAAGTTATATTGTCACCAGTATGGTGTCCAAAGCTCTTGCCAACGACAGGCATAATCTTGCACTACTTGCCACGATGAATTTTGTGGGCTTTACTGATGTTACTGTCAGACAAGTGAGGCATGTTACAACAACAACAAAACAAACTTCCTCAAATTTCAAACATGCTTCAGCCATTTTGATTAATCCTGTTTTTTTCTCTCTTCAATCCTTTTGAATTTGATACATCATGTGTCACATGTTATAATCATGAGATTACCAAAATCTTTTGAGAAAACACATTATGCTATGCAGCCATAATGATAATTCAGTTCAATTTTAAAGCCAATATATAAATACCACCTGTTAAAGTGTGCACAAATTTTTTTCTGACAGAGTTTGAATATAAATGGCTTTGACAGGTGGAGAATTAAAACAAAGAATCAATTTTTTATAGGACTTCTGGACTCAAATGTTATTCAGCATTAAAAGAGATACATCTTAAAAGTGATATTATATCATTATAATACTCAAAAAAGCATGTGGTTTGGATTTCTGGTTGTTTGTTCTCCAGTAAAATCGTCTGTATGAAACTAAGGGGTATTTACATAATTTAGAACTCACTTGCACCAGAAAAGACCTTAAAATTCTATATTACCTCTTCCTTTTGATGAATAAGGTTTTCTCAAGGTCAAACTCCATTTACTAAATTTACATGTATCATAACTTCCGGTTAATATCTATTGAGTTTTGTGAACCAAAGATAAATTGCAATAAAATGATTGATTGGGATAATTACATGAAAGGTATGTGCTGACCTTTATATCATCCTAATGTTAAAACCAATTACAAAATTATGAGAGTTTATTCATAAAAAGAAAACAAATAACATAGTCATGCACTTCAATGAGTTTTTGGAGGGTTTTGTTACAAAATTGCAGAATATTTCCTTGTTGTTTTTCCCAATTATTTCATTTTGTCTAGTACCAAGTTAAAGTTAGAGGCAAAGCAAAAAGCCAAAATGCACCAATATAGTGCTAAAAATGAATATTACAGCTTAAATGGAAAAGCACTCGCATTTTTTAGTACATGCAAAAATCATTTATGTTCTAAAAACTTTAAATTAAAGTAACAGATTTTTATTATTATAATAATAATTTTTTTTTAAAGTTACACAGTTTGTAGGTATTCTAATTTTATTTGTGGTAAAAATATTTTTAAAGGAACCTCAAATATTAAAAATACCAGTAAAATATATTAAATTCTGATATGATCTACGTGATTATATTAAAATAATACATGTGTTAAACAAAATTAATCACCTTACTTACCACCATGACAAGACAATTCAAAAGTATTGGTGATGAAAATACGATTGAAATAAACATGCCACTACTGTCAAAGTACTGCTGACGAGCAAAATACCTGTAAAACACACATATATACATATCCTTATATTATACAAATATACATATATGTACACACACATAAAAGCCCTTAAAAATGTATGAATGAAAGTTTCTAAGTACAAAGAATGTAATTAATACTGTCATTTCATATAACATAACTAAAACAGGTTTATATTACGACCCCCCCCCAAAAAGCACTATTGATTTTGAAGTAATTGAACAATGTATGAGACACATGTAATAATTCTAAATGTAAGTATGGTATAATACTTGGGGGATAAATGAAATGTGGTAAATGATTCCATTATCTTTTGGAAGAATAAGCATAGGCAGATTTATGAAATCATTAAGAGATCATATTCAAAGGCAACCCTAAGTCATTAAAAATAGTAAATATATCCTTCCTTTATGTGAAACTGCCTTCAGCTGCACATATTAAAAAAATTAATTACTGATGAAATTCTAATCAGGAGAGTTCACATTCAATATTAAGAATTGTTCTGTTTCAACAGCATATACATTTTTTCATATATAAGTGTGAAGTACGCATTCAAACAGTTTTCCTTTGTAGTTGAAAAAGTGAAGAAATAAATGGGCCTAAATAGATTGTAATATCAATGAACATTTTTAATGACAGAGATTAACTTAAACATAGTAGCGTACAGCAGAAAAAAAAGAAGGGCAAAGAAGTAAGAATGGTATACACATATACATACATACGTAATAAACAGTTACATCATAATCACCGCACGGATAAACGCGAACAGCGCATGCGTCAGGAGAAGCTCTCTTAAGCTAAACGTCGTATTATAATTTATGATACAACAATCCCCCTTTCGACGTTTGGCGGCTGAAAAAAAATAAACATTAATCATTTACAGTTATTCCAATTAATTTACAGCACTTAGAATGTTTTGAAGCAGTCAATGTTTTTGTCAGTACATCAGCAGACATTTTCTCTGTTGGCACATATTTAACGTCTATTTCGTTTCTTTCATAAATTTCCCGAATGAAATAATGTCTAATATCTATGTGTTTAATGCGTGAGTGATAAACAGTATTTTTCAGAAGCTTCTGTGCACCTTGATTATCACAATATATAATGGTTGGATAATCAGCAGTAAAATTTAATTCTTTAAGGAAACGACTTAAATAAACTGCTTCTTTGGCACTTTCTGAAAGACTGATGTACTCTGCTTCAGTACTTGATAATGCAACAGTTTGTTGCTTTCGTGATTCCCATGTTATTGGATTTCCAGCAAACTTGAATAGGTAACCTGTATACGATTTTCTAGTATTAACATCAGACGGCCAGTCGGCATCGGTATATCCAATAAGTGCTTTTCCAGTCTTTCGAAATTTTAAACAATAATTTTTAGTTCCTTTTAAGATCGAAGAACGCGCTTTGCAGCCAACCAGTGTAATTTCCAGAATTGTTATTAAATTGGCTCAGGTGATGACGGCATATGTAATATCCGGCCTAGTAAACACAGAAAGATACATAAGCGAACCAATTAGACGGCGATAAGGTGCATTGTTCATTTCTTTCCTTTCAGTTTAAGAAGGACACATTTCTTACTTAATTTTACACTAGATCAAAGGAGTGCTACTGTTTGGCATCTTGCATATTAAACCTCGTAGAATATTATCAACATATTTCCTGAGATAAACTAATAGAATTATATTTACATCTTGATAAATTCTATCCAAGACAATAATGAAGTTTTGCCTAAATCTTTAACATGAAAAACTCTTTGAAGAACCTAAGTTCAGCTATAATCACAGCTATTTGTGCTATTATTAAATCACTATATAAAATTAACTAACCTTGAGATGTTTTCTCTGTTATACACTTATTGATTGAATGGTTGTAATCCAAAGTTTTTGAGTTGTTTAATTTTTCTACACTGTCATTCCACTTGTTTCAACCATAAAGAGACTTTTGCAAAGCTAAACATAATCAGAATTATTTTGGTCTCAAACCTTAGCTTGTCCATGAAAAGTCTTTTTAAATCTCCGTTAACATAAGCCATAACCAAAATCAGTTGATATAACATAAGGTCTTCTCAGCATGTAGCAATCACAGTTGTTATAGAATTGCTCGGAACTGGAGCAAAGGTTCATTAAAATCAATTCCAGGTTCCTGGCAAATCCTCTAGCACCAATTGAGCTTTTCTTTTGAACTGTTCTGCATTATATTTCGTTCTAAGAACCCAGCGAATCTATTACTTTTGTTTCTGTGGTCGCTATTCCATGCACCATTTTTAACAAGGCTCATACTCACTTGCATGCCTTATGCCATTTCAGCATAACTTCATTTAATGCTCTTCTAATGTCAGATTGTATCTTCAGCAATGTGGCTTTTCCTTTAGTTTATAGTGTACTCCTTTTTTGGTCTTCCTGGCTTCCCAGTGGACTTTTTTTGGACGACTGCCCCCTTTAATCTGCATTTTAAGGTATTGCTTCGGAATCAGATCTTCATATCAGAGATTCAACAGATGCTTCTGCCATATTGAGGGGTCTTCTGTTATTCATCAGCCGTATCGATTTACATTCAGAGGTTCTTCTTCTTTTTATCAGGAATATTTTCGAAAATAAACTTCTAAATCTTTATCATAATTAGTACAGTTTCAAATTTCATCAATGAATCTAACATTTCGGATATAACAGTTTTTCTGGAATTTTATTCCACAGCTGTATGCTTTCGATTCATTTGAGTATCCTACAAATATATGTTCTGATCGAGATCGAATTTCCCTTAGACCTTTAATTAAGTACAAAACATTTTCTCGAATACTTTGAAGTGAGATAAGTTGGCTTGATGCCAAAAAATAACTCATAAGGTGTTTGTTACTCCCAGGCTTCAATTCGGCAACGATTAAGAATATAAACAGCACAGTTCAAGGCTTCAGCCCAAAAGGTTGGGAAGATTACTTGTAGTAACAAAACATCTGGCCATTTCAGTTAAAGTGCGGTTCTGGTTCAGCTCTCGAATTCTGTTGAGGAGTCATTGGTGCAGAGAATTCTCGTTAATCCCGCATTCTTGAATATATTTATTAAATTCTTCTCCCGATATTCAAGACCGTTATCAGTCCGAAGGATTTTTTTTTTCCTAGACGTTTCGACCACAGCTTTGTATTTAATGAATGTATTTTTCTTTCATCTTTAGTTTAAGAAAACTGACTTCAACTAACACGTTTGTCGTCTATAAAAGTAACCAAAATAACGCGAACAGCATGGGATGGACTCTTAGGTCCACACAAATCTGAATGAATCAAGTTCAGTAATCATCACTTTGAAATTTTGATTCTTTTGAAAAGTTTGCACCGATTGTTTACCTCAATACAGACTTTGCAGTCTTTTAGAGATTCAGTGTTATTAAAATTTAAATTTCTAACCATTTATCAGACTTAAGTTTTTCAAATCAGACTCATTTAAATGACCTAATTTAAGATGCCACTTACAAAATCACTTACCTGTGTATTGCAGCTATTCAGGCTTGATTGTATATAATAAGATCACCATGACGAATAGCCTGCACTAGTATAGATCCATTTGGTTCTATTATTCTAGCATGTCATTCTGTAAAAATCACTGAACGATTATTTGCAGTGCTTTAGATGTTGACAGCAAATTACATTTTAATTCCGGAACACATAACACATTTTTGAGCTAAGTTTAATTATCTTATTTCCGTTAGGTACTGTTATAAGGACAGTTCCAATTCCTGTAAGTTTGCTGTTGTCAACTGCTAACTTTATGGTTGAATTCGTTCGCGAGGTGAAATTTGAAAATAACCTTCTGTCATTGCACATGTGAGATGTACAGCACTATCAAACACCATGAGGAGGTCTTCTGATAAGCATTGTTCAGCTAAACTAATCTGCTCTTCAAATTAGAAGCTATCATAGAACCTTGATTTCCCTTATTTGATTGCGCATATTTCTATCAGCTATTTCTTTCTGCATTCAGATGCCTTGTGCCCAATTTTCGAGCAGTATTACACTTCAAGTTTTGAAAATTCTTTCAGCTGGAAAATTTTTGTTTGAATTTACCTTCCATTTTCATTTTTCTTCTGTTCTTGATTTCTTCTTTTATTTTCAATATAATATGCATTCTATCCTGAGACGTTTCCCCTTTTCTTGCTTCCCATTTTTCTGGCATTTTGATTTTCAAAGATTCGGGACTAGGTAACTAATCTCTTGATTCGATGGCGCATCTGAAATTTTCAAAGTTTTCTGGAATACTGTAGAGCAGAAGAATCGATAATAATCAGCTATGTCAATTTCCATTTGTTTAAGCTTATCAACTCTTTCAAAGGAGTTGTTTAAATGTTCAGACATCGTTTCGCTTTCCGCCATTTTTCTAAACAAAAGCTATTTTAACAAGGTAGCCTTCTTCGCAGGTCCTTTAGATTCATATACGGATTTCAGTTTATTCCACACAGCATTTGATGTCGCACAATGCTTTATATGACACAATTCACTAGGATTAATAGCAAGAATTATATCTGCGCGAGCTTTTTGATCAGCTTGGATCCATTTCTTTTCGGTCTTCGGTTCCTTCAGCAGGTTTTAGCGCTTTACTGGTACATAATCCCAATGGTCGTTTTAATCAATACTGCTTCTATTTGTAATTTCCAACTGTCAAAATATCTTTTCCGAGCTTTTCTATAGTAGTCAAATGCGACATAATGTAATACAGTCTCTCACAGCCAAAAAAACAAGATTGAGCGCTATAAAAATAGGCTTAACTGAAACTGATCAGTTCTTACCGTTGATTAGACGTAACAGTTCTTGCACTGAATCAGGCTCAAGAGTTCAATGCTCAAAAACTTCAAAATGTTCATTTAAAATAAGTATTTTGCTATTAGGCACAGTTGAAACATTCCCCTGGGCCCTAACCATTGAAAAGATAAATGAGCCTAATAGATTGTAATATCAATGAACATTTTAATGACAGAGATTAACTTAAACATAGTTGTGTACAGCAGAGAAAAAGAAGGAAGCGAAGAAGTAAGAATGGTATAAAACTTAAGATCCTTACAACGTAATAAAGCAGTTACGTCATCACCGCGCAGATAAACGCGAACGGCGCATGCGTCAGGAGAAGCTCTCTTAAGCTAAACGTCGTATTATAATTTATGATACAACAAAAAGGTTGACAAACAAAGATAATCTTTCCAAAGATATTAGAAATAATTTCTGAACCGAGATAACAATAGAACAGAAGCCCAGAGAATGAGTTGGCCATTGCATGTAAGTAATACTATTGCTTTCAAGCTAACCATCGACCAGTCTGCTCCGCATAAACATGCAACAGAAAAGTACAGAACCAGTACTGCAGCATACAGTTACATAAGCAATTCAATAACTTAATTTCAACATATTTCCATTAAGACTGTCTCCTCCATGAAGACCTGCAAACTGGCATGCTATTTTAGACAGCATATACTAACATATCTACATGCATGGTTGGAACAAGAATTTTAGTGGTTATAAGCACTTAACAGATTTGGGCCCCCATACACATTCACAGCTTCCTTCTCTCTCAGTCTTGGTGTAGCTGCACCATACATTCCATGGTAAAACTGGCAGTGTTAAATTTTTTCGTATCACTCTTAAGTCTTTAAATATCTTTTTGAATGCACCCTTTCCTAAACACCTTTTTTGTGGTGTTCCCTTTTCCTTGATACCCTAAGCACATTTTATTTCACTTAACAGTTAACACAGCTCTGGCCACACATAAAGGCATAGTGCTAATTGATGTACTGGGCTAGTCATCCGATACTGATTCTCTCTACACCATTATGTCTTTATTGTCTGACTAGTCTAAATCTCGACCCATCAATGAAGCATAATCTTCTAACTAAATTGAGAACTAATGGCATTATTTATGTTCTTTTGGCCACAGTATTCAAACACATAATCACAGGCCAAGCTTGCAGTCCTTTGTACTTCACCTTCACATCACATTATTATTAACATATGGAGACTTCCCTATTTTGTGGTACACTTTAATATTTATGGTATAGAAAAATAGTTGTTTATTGTTATCAGAGTCAGTGCAGCTGGCCAGCAATTGCGTTTGGTCAGTAATATGGTAGCACTCATTAGGGGATATTGTTGTCCTAGGATGACCCGGAAATTAGTCCAGAAAACTGGCTCAATGTTTGGAATATTGATATATAAGAAATGCAGAAAAGAAATTAACAAATTCTAAAACATTTTTTATAACTAATGATGAATAACCTTCCATATATACTTTTAAACGTTTTATGCATAACAATAACCTACTACAAAATCAAACCAACTTTCATAATTTTCAAGGAGTAAAGAGCTTTGGCCTATTTCATTTGAAATATAAATATTCTCATTAATGACAATAGATAATAAACTCAATAAACTCATGAATGTATCATGTTATTTCAGAATTTTTTCATGAATGCTATTTCAGACTTTGTATTGTATGCTTTAGTAAGCAATGCAGGAATAGTGAACAGCACTCATACTCATATATCTAAGATTGATGTATGGTATTCTAATAATACATTAATAATTAACTGGACTTCCTGTGCACAGGTTATTCTAAATTTCAAGTAGGTACATTAAAAGTTAAACTTCTTACATCTTTTCATCATCATTCCTTTCTTCTGATAAAATTAATATACAAGGAAAATTAAATAATTCGACAAAATTTCCACATCTTGAATATTTAAATTATTTATAAAATACACAAAAGTGAAAAAAAAATTACTATTTACAATCTCTCCCTCCCTTTTTTTAATAAGCAGCATTTTAAGCTAAATAAAGATAAAATAGACTGCATAAATTATGTAAATATGCAGCACAAGGAAGTTTTTGACCTGCCAATGGCAGAAACTGATTACAACCAGCTGAAAATGGCAGCAACTGGTAGAAACTAATTTAATGTATATGAAATGTGGTATCAGTTAACAATATTTATTAACTTACTAAACTATTTTTATTAATAAAAACTGTATACATTTTAATTATTAAATATTGCTAGTATGAAATAGTAATTATTTTAACAAACAGGCTATTTTAATGATGAGAAAGAGTAAACATATTCATTTTTGCATATTTATATTATCATATTCATACAAAATTATGTACTTAAAATTTAAAAAAATGCCACGCACAGAAGCATTTTTTAGGCAGACACCCTTGCATGCTTTACTGTAATCTGCAAAGATTTTCAAAGATAGTTTTATGTTCAGGAGTAATTTCTTTAGGTGTTAGGCTAATAGGGGATTTTATGTGCACAAGTTAAGGAGATTATAGTAGAAATGTGTCAACTGCGAAGTACTGTTAATGCTAAATGTTATAGAATGAAGGATCACCAGAAAAAGTGTAGTAGTAACTTCAACAATTTAAAAAAAAAAAAAAAAAAAAAAATTAGGCTAATCATCTAACATGAAAATTTCTGAACATGATTGCGCTTTTCAAGACAATTCAGCTCTACTTGAAAGAAACCAAAAGAAGATAAAGAAAAAGAACCTAGTGAAGACAGAGCTTCAACACATTAGACTAGTATCGGAGACTTCATCATTAACACAACTCGAAAGAATAAAGAGATTTTAGATGAGGCAATAGCAAAGTTCTTTTATAGTTGTATTATTTCATTCTCACTCAGTGAACATATATTCTTTATGTGACTTTTCAGTTTACTAACACCAGACTATACACCTCAAAAGAAAGAACAACTGGCCATATAATGTTCATAATCAATAAATATCAAATACAGCTGAATGGTTAAAAAACATTAAACTAAATAACATAAATAATGAATTGAAGTCAGAGATTGAAAAGAAAGTCTGTGGTAAAATGATTAGTGATTCTACATGACTAAAAAAAACTACTTTTTTTTAATAAATGCTATTCTTACTGGTAGTATATTTATACTTGTTAATATTTTGTATGAGAAAAAGACTGCAAATAACTGCATACAAATAACCAAGGTAGAAAGCGGAAGTATGAAAGGAATACAATTACAAAGCAAAAAATAAACCTTTTTTTTAAGAGATAGCAAGTATAAAATACAATACATGAAAAAGATTTGTGAAGACAGCTGTTTTATTCTTATACTCATTACTTTAATCTTCTTGTGTAGAATATTAAAACAACATCCGTTATGAAACAGGTGTTATTTTTTCAGATATACATTCAAATGCTGTAAAACCACAAGATCCAATTTGATAATATGATAGTTTGATTTAAATGATTGTATGAAATTTGACATAAGTGGCTGATGACAACCTTAAAGAAGCATATGAGGAAGGTGTTAAAAGTACTCTTAACCAAGCAATAATAATTTCATATTACACGTTAAATTATGCTTCATGCAAAATAAATAGTCAGCTGGCTCCGAAGATAGATCATTAGATCACAAAACCCAATATTTTGGGCTTTACTTTGTAGCTCTCAAAAGCAAAATCAGCTCCCTTACACATATTTTCCCAATGAAGGATAATTAATTGGATGAAATTGAGCTGATAATTGAATTGGAATTCACCATTCACAGTTTATTTTAATTTAATGAAAACAAAGATTCTATTGTTTGAACAATGATGATGTTGTCAAGTACTGCTGGGTTTTAAAAAATATTTTCCAGTTTTGAAAAGGCTACTGTGCGTAATTTTTAAATATGTACTGCAAAGTTACAGCTGAACTTGTTCAATTTTAAAATACATTTCCATCTACTACTAAGTATATATAAAATAGATATTATTTTCTAAAAGTCCCATAATTATAGCTATTTTATGGTAGTAACAATTTTATGTCATGCTAGTTTTAAGCAATTATAATCAGTGGCTTTCATAGAAATTTGCCAGCCTTACTTAAAAGAAATAAAATTTTCTGATAAAGCCAACTATGATTAATTTCCCTCTAACAAAGACTGAACGAATATTTCATTTTAAATAAAACATGATTATCAAAACAACCTCTAGTGCAAGGATGTCAAACTCGTGGCCCGCAACAGATATGTTTGCAGCCCGGCCAATATATCGGCAAATAATAATATATAATAATAAAATAACATATCGACAAAGAAAAAAATGAAATGTTTACTGCTAAGTAATTAACGATAATTTATTCAGTGTTGTTAGATTACTCACAGCGAGCTGACACACACACTACTTAAATTACAAATGTGTGTGAGTAGCTTGTGTTCAGCTACCTTCGGCTTTTGGGGGACTGAACTGAATTTGAAACGAGGTTTAATGATTTTAGTTCCCTCGAAGACAAATTTTTTTGTTTTCTTCGATTTTCTCAATAAGTATTGACTCAGTAACCAGCCATATGCAAATGGAGGTGATCGAGATTCAATGCAACTCAAATTTGAAAGCAAAATTTATTGAAGTGGGCGTGCCTGAATTTTACAAATATTTACCAGCCAGGTTTGAAAATACTCGAAAACACATATGAATTTATTTCCATGTTTGTACACAATATGCGAGTCATGAAAGGTATTATTAGAAACCGTTGTCAGCTTATCTGCAAACTTTCTCCCTGAAATCTGAAAGATAGAGATGTCAAGTATCAGGACGTAACATTAAACTTTTTTCTTGTTCTTTTTCTATATTATATGTGTGGTGTGTTTATTATTGTATTATTAGAAATAAATCTACATTTCTATGAATATTGATTTTTTTTTTTATTTTTGCGGCCCGCCTAAGGTTAAACCTTGTTTGTTTGGCCCAAGTGTACCTATGAGTTTGATATTCCTGCTTTAGTGCAACTACTAACATTTTAAAAACATTCTGCAAATACTAATATAAAAATCAAATTGACTAAAAATAAACTTTAAAACACTGATTACATATTAATGTACTTACTTCCAATTTTTGGCAGCTAATTCATTAATATTTGAAGAGCAGAACACGAGCAGCACTAAAAATCAATTTCAAAAGTTAATTATGATTTAAAATTAACAATTCACTTTTTAAAAATGAACACAACCATAGCCATGTTAAATACAAAATAAGCAAAACATTTCTTTTTGCAAAAATTGAAAGGGTGTATGAAATTAAAATAAACTACACATGAGTTAAAAATAGTGTATGAAATTAAAATAACATCAAATGTTAATGTAACAGAGCTGAAAAAATTTAAGGGATGTACTTTTGAGATTGGCCTTACGCATTAAAGCTCACAGTACAAGATTACTGTATATTCTGGCATATAACGTGCAATTTTAATACAAAAAATAAGATCGAAATTTACGGGTACGCATTACATGCTGTGCTGGATATATAAATTATAGATTTAAAAATAAGGAAAATACAAACATACAACAATTAGACTTCTACATGTATCTAAGTGTTGTTCATTTAAAACAAATGACATAGCTCATAAACGTAAAAATTTTCATTATTGGGTAACATGAAAAGTTTACCTTCAGTCATATCTTTAAGCACATCATTGAATTCTGTTTTATCTTCACCATTACTGTTACTCTGATTTATTAATAAATAATCATCTTCCATTCTATCGTAATTATTAGAAATACTACATTTTTTAAATGACTCTTAAATTATGTCAGATTTAATTTTATTCCATTCTTTTATTATCCAAGCACACACTATTTCTAAACTGGCATGATGCATTTGCCTCCTTTTGTAAATGTAATTCCACCTAACATTTCACTGCCCTTTTAAAATTTTCTTTGAATGTTTTATTGAAAATGCATCTAAAGGCTGAATTTATGGTGTTAATCCCCCTGGAATAATAGCCAAGTCTGTATTACACTCTTTCAACAATTTTATCATATCAGTTACGCAGGATCTGAACATGTTCCAAACTAAATTCTGGATTCTTAAAGGCAACAGGACAATTTTGCAAAACATTTCTCATTCACAATTTCACACTGCTGTCTATCCACCCCTCCTTGCAAACATAAATGAAAATGCTGTAATTATACAGTAATTATATCAGATAGCATGCATATTAAATGTAACCATAGCAAAATATCTTAATAAAGTTGGAATTTTGAAAAAAATTACCATCTGACTCTATAAAACTATACACTGAATTTATTACAGTGAAAAGTCGTTAATTCGGACACCCATAATCCGGACCTCAAAGCTACAAACTTTCTGCGCATGCGTCGACTTGACGCATGCGCATAGGCGTTTACGTGTGCGCGTAAGACCTTTACGGCTGTGAATATGCGTGTGCGCATAAAACGTTTACGCATGCGCGTTTAATGTATAACGGACAGTATAAGCTAAGCTAAAATTATCTAATTCAGTTAATGTTGCAGATTGCGTTGTGGCCTTAATCTTCGAATTGAATCTGGCTTATTATTTTTTGCGGACTGTTAGAGCAATTTTATAAAAGTAAGCTTGAACTTTCGATTATATCAAATAGAATTTCCGATATATATTTGCTAATATGTAAAGGATCTAAAGCGAAAGTATGTTTCGAAATCCAAAATTTGTTTATCAATTTCACGCTGCTCGGCGGGGAGAACGCCGCGGCGCGCAATGAATTGGAAGTTGATCTGTCAGCACTATCCTTATCTTCAGGGCACATGTTTTTATTTTATTTCCCTTATAATTCCTTACTAAATGTAGTATTTCATCTCGATGTACTCCATCTTTGATATGATTTAACAACTTCCTCGTCATTATAATTCGCTTCCGATAGTGAAGAAAGTGACAGAGGTTATTGAAAACGAACAAATTTCGATTGACAAATTAGTTGATTGACAATTCTCGACACAGCAATTATAGGACTTGAACAGCGGAACTTTGTAACTAAACAAGAAATTATGTCTGTTTAATAGAATTAAAGAGAAAGTATTATCACATGAAACGAAGCAACTTAAACAACTTACATTGAAAAAAATGTTTAATAAAGTAAACAAATAAATATTAAGCTTTTTCTTTTTGTAAATTTTGGTACCCTTCAGATGATAATTGTTCCTTATTTCATAAATTACGGTTTCATATTTTTAATTTCTGCATGCCATCTTACCAGATTTAAACTGGTGATCTATAATCCGGAAAAATCGATAATCCGGAATCGCCAAAGTCCCGACGAGTCCGGATTAACGACTTTTGACTGTGTTCATTAACTGCAGACAAAAGGAAGTTGCATATAATTTACAAAACAGAAAAAAATAATGCACTAATATAAATGCAGTTTTTTTTTTCTTATTTATAATATTTCTCACTTTACATGCATAGTCCTTGCATGTAAAACTCAAAATCTTTAGAGATTATATGAAAGTAATATAAATATTTAATAGTAAGAAAAAGGCCAAATACACTGAAACCTGCTTGAGAAGATCACATACATTTATTTTCAAATGATTTTGGCCTTTCATAGAGGTAGTCATTGTAGAAAGTACGATTACCATAAATATTCAGTCCTATCATCTAAATATAGTATTTTTAGAAATGTTTGTCATTTTTAAAGATGATCATAATAGAAAACGTTTCCCAGTAACCATTTAGAAAAACAATCTTCTGAGCCAATTTAGTATGCCTTTTGTCTTGTACACAACCAACATTCTAATACGATTGCATACCATAATAGTTACAATTTATGAATTTATTTTAATATATGCTGAGTCAAAAGAGATGTGGCATAAAATTTGCATATTCTCATAATAAAACATCATGAAGGTCTCCAGCATAGTTGCAAAAAACACTGCAAGTTTATTCAGAATTAAAAAAAGTTCTGTCCATGAACTGATAAAATTTGTCATGAACCATGAATCACTTATTTACTTGTGGCAATTATTTTTGAGGACCACTTAACTTGGAATAACTAGGCAAGTGTTCAGTGGACACGATAAAAAATAATACAGCAGAAGGAACAACAATATTCTCAGACTGCTGGATAAGATCACTTCACAGTGAATCATTCATTTAATTTTACTGAGGCAGTCACGGGTTGTCATACCTAATCTATTGAATGTTTTGGGAGCAATGCTAAATGGCAGGGAGACACTGCCAATCAACACTTTCCTACTTAGTAGAATTCACATGGCGCTGCCTATATCTGAAGGGCGAAATGTTTTCTGCCATACTAGTGGATATTTATAAATTTATGTCTCTTGTGTATTGTCCCCATTCATTTCAGTTTATGTTTTTTAGCAATTAAGAATAAAATAAATTGTCTATAACCTATGCTTATAATTAGAAATTGTTTACAGATAAAAAAAACTGCCAAAAGGCATAGCAAATGCATAATGGAAAAGTACCATTTTCTCTTCATTCAGAAGAGTTTAACATAAAAAATTCAACCAATTTAAATGCACTCAAATTTTAAAATTCATTGATTGCGCTAGAATACTGTTATTCCTGGTAGAATTTTACTGTAGTTCTGTCTATTGCAAACAAATCCCACACTGAAATTGAATTTAAAACAAAAAACACCATGAATTGTCAATAAAAACTGTTCAAACTTAGGAGGGAAAGGTGAAAAAAAAAGCACACAAAAAAGATAGCACTGCTTATTAAAATTGAAATATTGTTATGGTTATGGATGATTGGTGCATTCTAAAAATGTGGCATCTTACATACCTATGTATTTTTCAGTCAATCATTTTCAACAAAATAGAAATTGTTGCCAAATAGTGCAATTTAACACAATAACAGATAAATGGGACATCATAATGCACTGTTAAGATCTTTGAATTTGATTAATGCATCTTTGACCAGTTTTTAATAAGTAACTTTAATAAACTATATCTGAGGGTTATCCAACTAAATAATGAATGATTTGTTCATTACATGGCACCTACTGAAACGACTGGTGTACCTCTGAGCCCATATTTATTAAAATTTCTTATTACATCTTATGTTCATAATTTGTATCAGTTGGCTTATTAAATAAAGAGGTCTGTTCCTTCAAATTTCTGCTGATATGGCTGGTGCAAGTTGGATAAGATGTCTACCAAATTTTAGTCTATAGGTAAATATGTAAGTATGGCCACTCATGCTAATATGATCATGCAAGCCACTCATGCTAATATATAGCCCCCCCCCAAATATAAAGTAAAAATGTTTACAAAATATCTTTAAAAAACACTGGAACATGGAATACAATAGAAAGTCGAAACATTGCATGTTAAAACTGAAATATTATTCATGTTGTTTACATAGTTTCCAGAGATTGACACACTCTGAAAATGTGGCAAATTTTATTAAGGTAGTTGAGCTAAAATGTAAGTACTAAAAGAAATTTTAATAAAAATGTGCCGCTATATCCTTAAGTAACTTACATAATGAGAAGAAGAAAGCCCCTTGAAAATTTCCATGATGGCGTGTTACTACAGTCAAGATTGTAATGATAGCATGGAAGATTAATAGACCAATTAGCCATGGTTCAGTCCAATCGATCTAAAAAATACACAGTGAGAATATAAATTTATAATATTTACTGTTCCTGTTCTATGCAGTTTAAATATTAAACTAAAGAAGAAACACATACACCATTTAGTCTGCACATAAAATACAATGACAGCCAAACAGCAATAAAACAATCATGACAGAGAGACAACTTCACTTATTACATAATTATGACAGCAGATTCTGGCTTAAATTTCAGCAAAGATTAAATCTTTACATAAAAATAAAAAAACAGTAAAATACAGAATAACCTTCAGTATATAGCAAAATGGTAAATTTTAAAATTGACAATAACAGGAGACATTTGTTTTTGGCTGAATGGCATGGACGACTTATCCTACTGCAGCGAAACCTCTCATGCTGATCACATCTGAATCTGCTCATTATTTCTGAAAAGATAATACAGTCCAAAGTCGTTAATCCGGACTCGTCAGGACTTCGGCGATTCCGGATTATTCATCATCAGTTTAAATCTCGTAAGATGGCATGCAGAAATTCTAAAATTAAAAATACGAAACCGTAATTTATGAAATAAAGAACAATTATGATCTAAAAGGTATCAAAATTTAAAAAAAAAAAAAAAAAAAAAGCTTAATATTTGTTTGTTTACTTTATTAAACATTTCTTTTAATGTAAGTTGTTTCGTTTTATGTGATAATACTTTCTCTTTAATTCTATAAACCGACATAATTTCTTGTTCAGTTGCAAAGTTCCGCTGTTCAAGTCCTGTAATTGCTGTGCCGAGAATACCGACTAACTTGTCAATTGAAATTTTTTCGTTTTCACTAACCTCTCTGTCACCTTCTTCATGTCTTTATCCATTTTTTGCAGCAATTCCACTTTTTGTTTGATGGACATTGAAACATACTTTCGTTTTTGTTGGAAAATATGACCTATTGTAACCCCTTTTCTGCATCATCTCTCCTCCTTGAAATGATTCTTTTACATAAGTTATATATAAAACATCTAGTTTAGTTCTTATTTTAAAGGGATATAGTAGTTACTTCTACTTCGTTTTTCACTGTCACTGTTTGTATTAAGAACGGACTGTTTCAGCCTAATTAAGATGCAAAAACGAAACTTGATGTTACCTCATCTGGAAAGCCAAGCCGTGCCAATAGCTGATTGGTTGCCGTGAGATGACATCATGTCTACTTCTGGTATAAGTATCTCGTGTCGCTCTGGCTCATTCCCAGTTGGATTGCTTCACTCATTGAGTGAAGTCTTGTTTTTTGCTCTCTCAACTTGATTCATTTTGTAAGTATGATTTTGCTCTCACGAAAAAACAGATAGCCAGCAGAATGTCGATAGACAACAAAGGCAAATGCCTTAATAAGCCGAGGCCTACGTCCGATTTTGACAATGAAGTACAACAAATAGTCCATCATATTTAAGAACTTAAAGATGCCATAGAAAAAGTACAACAACTGCCTATAACAAAAGAAAGCGTCCAGCTCCGACGATCCATGCAAGCCGAGCTTAAAAGTCAGGAACAGAAACTTTATTCTTTCATCCCTAAAAAAGATGTAGATAATATTATTGCACAGTTCCCGCCTTCCGCTAGCAATAGCGCAAATGATTGGTCCACGGTAAAGCCTGCCAAAAGATTGCGCCGCGATAGCGGATCTTCATACAGTTCTCAAACAATCAGCACTTCCTCACGTTTTGACTCTCTTAACAATGAAGAAATGCTTGACACAAATAATGATGACATCGAAATGACCCCCCAAACGGAAAAGCCTAAAAATACCTAATAGCCCTTATCCAAAAGATACCAAAATTCCACCTATAATCATTACCGATCTCAAAAATAATAACTGGCCTGAAATTCGTAAACATATAAAAGAAAATTTAAAAATCACTAAGCTTGAAACGAAAATTGAAGGCGACAACATCAGAGTTCAATTTTTTAATGAAGATGATTTCCGTACAGTTCAAGACTATCTCGAAAAAGCACCTATTCCATTCCACACTTATCTCTTAACCAAAGAAAAGAATCTCAAAACAGTAATTAAAGGCTTATCAGCACAAACACCTATCGAAGAAATAAAAGAAGAACTTAAACTAAATAAAATCACTGTCTTAAAAATTCACCAACTACAGAGAATGCGTGACGGAATACCAACTATGCTCCCGATTTTTTACGTCGAAACGCCTAGAACACCACAAGAAAAAGAAATCTTTAACATAACTCACATCAGTGATATGAAAGTTAGAATTGTTGGATATAACTCCAGACCTGGTCCCGTGCAGTGTTTTCGATGTCAGCGTTACGGACACACGCAGAGAGCTTGCCATAATCAACCACGTTGCATAAGATGTCTCGAAAATCACCTTTCCTTCCAATGCCCGATTAAAGATAAAAAAGAAATCCCTGCAAGATATGTGCTTTGTAGTGGTTTTCATGCCGCTACAAGTATTGATTGTCCGGAACATCCCAGTAAAAAATTCCTACAAAAACAGAAAATTCCACAAAAAGATGATTTTCCGAATTTCAATAAACAAAACCCAGAACCTATTAGAGAAGATAACAATAAGAAAACTTACGCGAATGTTACAGCACCCAAAGATAAAGAGATAGAAAAAACCAAAATATCAGATGTCAAAAATCTAGACGAATTTAAATCCCTTATTTTCAAATTAAAAGATCTGTACCATAAATTTACCAAAGTAACTAACGAGAAGCTTGATTTTGCCCTGCAGGCACTTGAACTATTTGTTTAAGCACTTTTTAGCGCTTACTTGACCAGATGATGACGCAGCCGAGCGGTACGGACCTTGGATCATTTTGCCCAACGAGATCGTAGGTTCGGTCCTAACCGAACAGTTAAATATCAAATAGGACTTGTATTATATTTTTCTTCTCATTATTTAATCCAGGATTTTTCTACTACTTGTATTTTATTTTTATATATTACAGCTTATTTTTATGTGAATTTATATTTTTCTACAAAATTTTTAATATGTACAGTTAATTTGTGAATGAAGATTACAGCATCAGAATTTTGACATAGATTATTGCCAAAACAGCTTTTATTAAAGCTTTCACGATTAACCCATGAAGTCTTCGATGAGATTTATATTAGTAGGAGCCTCACGGCTGATACTTCTTATATGTTTGAGGATCAAGGCTCATTCCTGCTAGTTCCTGTTTCTTTGCTCCTTGGTGTGCAGTTTCCAGCCCCCATTGGAAGACGATATTGCGATGCGTGCAGTCTGGTAATAAGTGCCGTGGTTCCAGTCTACAAGATGACTTTTCCTGGATTCTCAAAAGAGGCTATGATGTGAGCGACTGCCGTGGGCGGCATCTATGTTCTTCATGAAGGCGGCATTTAACACAAGTTAGCGGCGATGTTTTTCTAAGCTGTGATTCCCCGTGTTTAACTACAGTGAGCAGCGTTTTGCCGGTTTCATGTGCTCTCAAGGATTTAATTTTAATTTTTCAGGTGCCTTCTTGACCATGAAGCATGGACTTATTAATAGTGTAGCGAATTTCTATTATAACCGCGTAATTTCTGTTTAGTGATATGTTTTTCGCGTATTGAATGCCAGTATTTGGATCAGGTAAAATATTATTTAATAGTGTAACATTCTTTAAAGGGAAAACCCTTGGGGTTAATGGATTATCAACTAAGTGAAATTTTTGATAATGATTGTTATATTTTTTTTTAAGTTTCTGATATTGTTTAAATTTATTCATTATGTTTTTATTTATATATATTGTTAATAAATTGGTTAAGTTTAAAACCTTTTTTTGTCTTCAATGTCTGCACAGCACATAACTTTAGGGAGCTTCTATTGCAACTGCTGCTAAATGTTTAATTTTACAACTTTAAACTTTGCTTTTGCATCAGTTTTGTAGATCCTTTGGGAGCTCCAGCATCAGAAATTCTATTTGACATAATCGAAAGTTCAAGTTTACTTTCATAAAATTGCTCTTACAGTCTGCAAAAAATAATAAGCCGGATCCAATTCGAAGATTAAAGAACAACGCAATCATCAACATTAACTGAAATAGATAATTAGATAATTTTAGCTTACACCGTTTGTTATACATTAAACGCGCACGCGAAAACGTATTCAGCGCTTGCGCAATGCATATGCACAGTCTTACGCGCATGCATAAACGTCTATGAGCATGTGTCAATGCGGCACATGCGCAGAAAGTTTTTAGCTTTGAGGTCTGGATTATAGATCATTCTGGATTAAGGGTGTCCGAATTAACGACTTTTGATTGTACAATAATCAAACATCATTGATAATAATGCTGTAGTGCTGAAACAATCGTCTGCCCCCCCCCAAAAAAAATATATGCTGTGAGTGGTCATCTTATGGAGATTTCACTGTAGTTTATATGCCAGTCTTATATAATCTGCAGATTAATTAAATATAAAAACAATTAGATGATGGCATTTTAACACTGAACCACAAAGACCTTGTTTCTTCATACAGATAATAAAAGAGCAACCAATATTTAAAAAACAAAAACTATAGAAATGCATATATGTTAGTTGTTGTTGGTGCAGTAAAAAGTCAGTAATCCGGACTCGTCGGGACTTCGGCAATTCCGGATTATAGATCATCAATTTAAATCTGGTAAGATGGTATGCAGAAATTATACTATTAAAATATGAAACCATAATTTATGAAATAAAAAACAACGTATTACCATCGACTGGTGCTTTTGCATGAATTATTATGTATTTAATAGTATTTAACAGTCCACTTAATAATCTTTTTTTACGTTTAATTTTCTTAAAAACAACAACAACAAAAAAGGGTTTAAAAGTTATGTTCACCTAGCTAAGGGAAATAAATTAAAATTTGGAGTTCTCAATCAAATCAGAAAAATGCAATGCTTTTATTAACAACACAGAATCTACCCTTGAAAATACAAAAACTTCAAAAGAAATGAACATATAACCACTTCAGAACATTAAAGGATTGCAGTAGCAGATAATATTAGTATAGAACAGATATATTTTTCAAAT